AGGTTACACCAATCAGCACCTGCTTAAGATCACTTAGGCCTCCTTTGTCCAGCCATAGCAGCTCTGAAGGTGTAATGCGGGGCTGTACCATCCTTTAATGGACCCTCCACAGCCCAGATGTCTGTGATAGGATGTGTTTTCCTGCTAAAAGAGGCCACCTGTTTCAATGTAAGGTTGTATGTGACCTACACCAACACAAGGTGGGAACATGAAAAAAAAATCTCCTGTTCAAGACTTAAAAAAAATCATATTATGGAGCACTGATATCGAAATAATATCATAATCCAAAGTTTCCCATAATCCTGCTGCCATCACCTAACATCACACATGAGCGTTAATCATGAGACCAGGCCACCTTCATCTGTCACATGCTCACTGGTCATTCATTTAGTGGCAGGATATGTCGTGGTTCCACAGTGTTGTGGGTATCACGTCTGCTTTATATGCAAAAATTATTTACTGTCTGATTATATGTTAAGACATATATGTTTCATGAAGTTTCCAAACCCACTCGTCTAAAGTGCAAGTTGGTGCTAAAGCCCAGCACTGTGTCTACACAAAGACGTTAGGTTGTCCTTGTGCAGGCAGATGTTCCCACAGTCTTCTAAAGACCTGAAAACATTCTGCAATCGCAGTCATTTCCCCCTAGTGGCTGTTAAAGAGAAGGCAGACTAGGTCACTGTTTCAGTTAAAGGTATACTGTTTTCTCCTCTGGTGGTTTTATATTGTCACGTCTGCTTCCTTGCTTCCAGACTAACTAGCCTGACGTGTATGACTGGCTTTTTGTGATCTGTATAGTTGAAAATAAGATGACCATAGAGTGTATAAAAGATAAAGCTATGAGGACCTACCCAGCATGTGTGGTTCCATAGTGTAGTGGTCATCACGTCTGCTTTACACGCAGAAGGTCCTGGGTTCAATCCCCAGTGGAACCAGTGTTTTAGACATTACCAAATGGTGTATCTTTGACCTAGTACCACTGACAATCTGCTCCCTGTACATGTTCTCCAGTCCAAAATATTGGTTTATTCTAAACATTAGAAACACCAGCTTTGTGTCCAAAACTACACACATCTATTTAGGCTTTAGGACTTTAGGACTCTATTTAGGCATCCAGTCTTTGTTTACTTCATTGGTGGATATGTATATTGGATGGAAAGGATTGTTCCTCGAGGATGTGTAATGTGCTTACACGTTAATTAAAAAACAAGGACCTGAAGTGTTATTCAATGCGACCAAACTTTATGAAACATGGCTCAATACACATAAATTATCTGTACATGTACAGATTTTTAAGGACATTCATTCAGTAATAGGTCACCTGACGTGGTACCATAGTGTAGTGGTCATCATGTCTGACTTACATGCAGAAGGTCCTTGGTTCAATCCCCAGTGGAACCATGCTCTTTTAGATGTCTGCCACATGATAAGTACATCCATCAAGTTTAAAGTGTAATCAAGATCAGTTGAAGCATAGCTTATCTTGTACAAGTGCTTTCAGTATTGTTTCAATAAATCAAATAGTGTGTCTTGGTGATGCAAAGACGGCAGTTTTGATTTTTGTGAAGAACTCTTTCTCATTAGTCATTGAAGTGACGGGCCAGTTGGTGGCATATAGTGTGTTGACACAAAAGTACCAGTTGGTTCTAAAGATGAGTCTATGGAGTACTAGCTTTGTGTTCAGTATGAGCAAAAACTACACAGAAATAGAGTTCATCTGTTTAGACTTTAGGACTGCTGGTTCTCATTCAGATTTTGTTTATGTCATTGATG